TTCCACAACTACACAGATCAGCATAGAGCAATGAGCATCTATCATGTTTGTGAATTAGATTGTATTTATTGAGTACCTACTGTGTGCCTGGCTCCCTATGCATCATTATCTCATTAGCACACACGTATTGCTCCTTTAAAGTTAAACCACAGTATGTTTGGCCTAAAGTGCGACTAAAAGTCTTACCTTTTAACAACAGGATATTTGGTTTAGGTGTGGTTACTTGGTGTTTTGGATGTTAAGGAGGTAAGTACATTTGTTTGTTCCTTGTATTTTGGTAAGGAAATCTTTTTCCCTCCCCCCTTTTGATTGGGGTATATAGAACATTAAGTAATAAACTTGGAGCTGATCCCAGTATTCACTGGGTGCCTTCCCGACTCTATCACTTGTCTCTTGTCTATTTCTTTCCTCAATCCACACTCCCCTTCTCATGCCCAAAAAAGGTGGTCCCCTCAACATGGGACCCCCAACAGGTTGACCTGAGCTCTGTCTGCCTGCTCCCGAATCCTCTGTTGTCATCCTGACGATTGTGTGACCTGAACAGCTCAGCCCTTTAGTCCCTAGAACAGATGTCCTGTCCATCACAGCACCCATGTCTTGCCTTCTGAGCCCCTCACTTACTCCATACCTCCTACCCTAGGAAGACAGCATCTGACCCCTAGATAGAACCTCACTTTATAGTCCAGGCTTGTCTTAAACTCACCATGCAGCCCATCCCAGCTCCAAACTCATAATTGTCTTCTTGCTTCAGTTCCCCAAATGCTGGAACCAGGGACATTTGTAACCCACCCTAGCCAGGGTTTTATCTTGCTCGGCCCTATGTCCTCCATATATGGTACAGCGAGACCCAACAACAGTGAGGGCCCAGTCACATGACTGATAGACCTAGAAATGAGATTGATGGCAGAGGGGCCAGAACCTAGGGTTTCTATTCCTGGATAACTTTTGTGGAGGAGAGTCTCATACTCTCTACCCTCAGGAGTTCCTAAGTAGTAACACCCTGGATCCTCCCTACAACCCAAAAGGTATGGATACCTTTGATCTTTGTTCTACAAGCAGGGAAACTGAGGCATGTGGCCAGTAATAGTTATCTGGAAAACAGACCATCCACTTTCTCACTGTTCCCTGTGATAAGGTGGTTTCTGTCCACTGTGAACCTATTGAGTTAAGCCTGGGCACCACTTTCTGACTGCCCAGTGACTCCCACACCCTCTGAATGATGCTGAATGGCCATAGTATCTCTCTGTGCCTTGGTCCCCCTTCAGGACACAATAATTTCTGCTCTGCAGACTGGCTGGGAGGTCATAGACCATCAATGTGGCACATGAAAAGAACCCTGTTAATACACTGTCACTGTCACTGTGACTCACACATACTCTGGTATTACTGGCCATCTTGGAGTCTTCCTCTATAGATTTGTTTTAGAAGACAGAAAGAAGGATGAACCAAGGACAAAATAAACCCCAAAAGGATCCTTTTGTGTCCTGTGTACCTACAACAGGTAGCATCAGGAAGGCTAGGCCAATCCAAAGGGGATATCTCAACCAGAACTCATACTGTAGCCTGGTCACAACCTAATTAATCTCAGTTTTCACCTGCACATTTCAGCCTGCAATCCTGAGGCTACAGGGAGTAGGGGAAGGCTAGGTAGTTCTGAACACTATGGCTAAGTCCGAGGCTGGGATAACTGGCTTGGATCACAGATGAGAATGGGAGGGAGGGATTCATTGGAGATCCAGGTTTACAGTCAGGTCATGTAGGCTGACCTTCACCAAGGCTCAGCTTCCTTCCTTGTTATGCTGACTATTTTTATGCTAATGTGACACAAACTGAAGTAATTGGAGAGGAAGGAACTTCAAATGAGAAAATGCCTTCACTAGATAGGGCTATAGGGCATTTTCTTAATTAGTGATTTATGGGAAAGGACCCAGCACACTGTGGGTAGAGACATCCCTGGGCTGGTAGTCCTGGGGTCTATAAGAAAGCAGACTGAGCAAGCCATGGGAAGCAAACCAGTAAGCAGAACTCCTCCATGGCCTCTGCATCAGCTGCTGCCTCCAGGCTCCTGCCCTGTTTGAGTTCCTATCCTGATTTCCTTCAGTGATGAACAGGGATATGGTAGTTTAAGCTAAATAAACCCTATCCTCCCAAACTTGATTTTTGGTCATGTGTTTTTCATCACAGCAATAGAAACCCTAACTAAGACACCTATGTCATGTGACTTTGCCTCTTGTCCTCTGTATGAGCCATACAGGCCTCTACAGTAAGGTTCCCTTTGCCCCCCCCCTTTCAAAGCCTGCAAGGCATTCTCCTTATCCCCAGGGTTGATAAAAGTTTGTAGCTGAAATCGTATTTCCTGGAGTCCTATAGCCCAGGGATGGCCACATAACCAGCCACAGCTTTTCTTTGTCCTCTCAGTCTTCTGTCAGGAAAGGAGAAGGACCTGGGGCATTAGGCCTGAGGCTTCATGCATATGATTGAGAGGAGAAACGGAGTTGGCCTGTTGGGTGGGCTTGGAACCTGTCTGTGCACCTGTGGAAGCCATTCTGAATCCTTGCCTTTCCTCATAGGCTGCATGAACAAGACAGGTGAGTATTCCCTTCCCTTAAGTGACCCTCAGGGGGCACCCCCTGCTAGTAGTGGCTGTCCCTCTAAGTGCTGGAGACCTTGTACCAGCAGCCGGCATCCAACCCTGTTCCTCATGTGTCCACTGACTCCTTTTTATTGACATGGAGGAACTGCCCATGTTTCTGGGGCAAAGTGCTGTCTCTACATGTGTGTGTCCTGCTTGTGGCAACTCCATGTGTGATAAAGCCAGGGCAGTTAGCATGTCAGCACCATCAATGCCAAGTGTCCAGTGCTTGTGCTCACTTCAGCAGCACATATACTAAAACTGGAACAATACAGAGATTAGCATGGCCCAAGTATCCAGTGCTAACTATCTCCTGGGCTCCTCGTGGCTGAGCCTCTGCCAAAGCAATGCCATTCAGTGTACCTTGCAGTTCGGGTTTAAGTGTCTTGTCTGAATAGCAAGCCCTTCCATATCCATACATCCCACCTAGGAAGCTGGCATACCCAGGACCCTCAACTGATCAGTTACCAGATGCCCCCCTGCTGGCCAGATTCCTAAAGGTCAGGCCTTGGCAGGTCATGCTTTCTCTGCATGCACTTAAAGTTCCCCCAGGAAACCAAATGACCGGGTGACAGGCACAGAATAGGACCAGAATGGCAGAGGACATGGGAGGGTGCTCTGTGTGGGTGGGAAACTCCCAGGAAACGCAGACCCCACTTCAGTGGTTATATCCCCTAGTGAGCTGAGCTGGGACATCCTGTGACTCAGACTTCCTGTACCATGCATGGCAGTAAGAAACACACATCTCAGGTGGTCCTGGACACAGACCAATTGCGACTGTACCCTGTGAGACAGGGTTAGCCCTCCTCAGGCGTGACACAGACAATTTGTCTTTCTTTTTAATCTCATGTTTTAAACAGCCGGACCCCATTTAGTAAATTGATTGCAGAACTTCTCCACTGGCCATGAGCTATCCTCTCACAGCATCAGGCGGGGGCTCAGGGACTGGCAGCTCAGATGGTTGAGTGCTCACCTAACATGCATAAAGCCCTAGGTTTGATAGCACCACTGCATAAACCAGATGTGGTGGTGCACACCTGGAATCCCAGTATCTGAACAGTGGAGGCAGGAGGATCAGAAGTTCAAGGTCATCCTCCACTACATGGTAAGTTGAAGGCCAGCCTGGGCCAGAGACCTTGACAAAATAATATGTGAAAACTTAAAATTAAAATTGTTTTTAAATTTTAATTCCGGCATCTCTCCCTGAAGACCTTGGACAGGTTGCCTCATTTGGAGCCAAGCCATTAGAAATCTCCAGAGTTCTGGTCTCATTCGAGCATGACCAGCAGCAACCTGAGAGGGTCATGGAGCTCCGCCTGCTGGAGATCTGTGTGAGACCAGATGCCAGGAGAGTCAGGGACTAAAGATGATATACCACAGCCAAGACTGGTGGGGCATCGTCCCAGGACACAGGAGCCATTCTTACAAGGACCAGAACTGGGTCAGATACTCCATTGTCACCATCTAGAACCTTTCTTCCTTGGTCTTTGAATTTGTGTTTTGTGACAGTGGAGCATCAGAGTGCGCTCGTGCGCATGGGTGCACACACACACACACACACACACACACACACACACACACCTGGGAAAACATGGAATCTGGAGCAGCTGGCTGGGGCTGGGAACCAAGTCAGCGTTTTTGCTGGTGATACTGATGGCAACTGTGAGGATCTCAGGAGACGGGAAGGTTCCTGTTTGGTTAATTCTCAGACCATCCTGAGAATATGGGTGACCATTGGATCTCCATCCTGGAAGCCTGGCCCAGAGGTGACTATGTGTGGACTCAAGCCAAAGCCAAGACCAGACAGTGAACTTGACAGAGGTTTGGAAATATGCAGTCAGAGCAAAGTAACTAAGGAAATCAACATAAAGTTTCTCTAAAAGCTGAACACAGAGATATCACATGACTCAGCTAGACCCTCAAAGGAATCTACATGCAAGATGCTGGATCCCACCACAGAGATCCTCAGAAACCTGTGGCTATTGCTACACTTCTCATTACAGCCAGGAAATACATGTCACCTAGATGACCAACAGAGGGAGAGACGGATAAAGAACACAAGGCTCATGTTCCCAGTGGAAATCCATGCAAATGAAACCGTAGCATTTGCTTAAAAAATGGATGGGACTAGAAATTATGTTAAGTGGAACAAGCCAGATTCAGAAAGACAAACACCACGTGATTTCTGTCCTGTGGAACCCAGATTTAAAGTTATATGAGGTGTGTGTGTATGTGTGTGTGTGTGTATTTGTATTTGTGTTGAATGTATACGTGTTTTGCATGTCTATAGGTGTATGTGCACACGTATGCACATGGATGTGGAAGTCTGACGTTGATGTCAGGAAGCAGAGAAAGACAATGCTGGTGCTCCGCCCACTTTCCCTTTTAATTCATGGTTACAGCACATGGGATGATACCACCCATGTTTGCGGTGGGTCCTACCTTCACCATTAAGCACAAGCTAGGAACTTCTTCAGGGAATGCCCATATTTTTGTCTCTGAGGTGATTGGATATTCCATCAATTTTACAATATTAACACTGCACATCTCTACAATGGCCAGGGTTCTCCAGAGGAGCAGGATGGATCAAATGTGTGATATAAAAAGAGATGCATTACATAGATTTACATAATGCAGTCTGAGCAATGGACCCACAGTTGTCTACAGGCCAGAGAGACTGAGAACCCAGTAACTGCTGCATCCCTCAGTAGTCTCTCACTGGCATCGACACCTGGACGATTCCGGGAGAGCAACTGACATTCAGTCCATGTGTGAAGGTAAAGGTCTGACATCAGCAGGGCATGGCAGCTGAAGTGACAGGGGCAGGACAGACACAATAGCAAGAAGGGAAGCCAGGCCGGTGGCCTCACATCACTTTGCTTTTTCCTTGGATCTCTTTGTATCTTAGAAGGTGTGTCCCCTTCTTCTCTTAGAACAGCCACATAGATATGCGCAGAAGTGTGTCTCTCCAGTGGTTCCAGATCCAGATCCCACCAGGTTGACAAGATCAGCTGTCATGCTCGTAAGTAAACTTGCTGAACAGTAATCTGCAAAAAAAAAAAAAATGACACTCAGGGTGTCACATGGATAAAATGACAGGGCTATGTGATGATGCAGAGATTACATACTTGTCACATATGCCGGAGGATCAGAGCTGGGATCCTCAGAACCCACAAAAATGCTGGTGGATGTAGCGGCCAGTCTGTAATTCCAGTCTTAGAAAGTAGACAGAGGAGATTCCCAGAGCAAGCTGTCTAGCAAGATTAGCCATATCAGAGAGTTCCTACCTCAATGAATGAGGCTTGGAAGAGCAATAGGGGATGACTCCCAACATCAAGCTTGGTCCTTAACATATATGTAAACACATGTGCACCCAAACACAGATGAAAATGGAAAAGGAAAAAAGCCACTTGGTACATAAACTACAATTTCTCAGAGTGTTGTTCTTTCAGTTTATGCTGGCTAGTTTTTTGTCAACTTGACACAAGCTAAGGTCATCTGGGAAGAGGGAACCTCAGTTGAAAAAAAAATGCCTCCATAGGACACTTTCAAGATTAATGATTGATTTAGAGAGCCTAGCCCACTGTGGGTGATGTCACCCTGGGCAGGTGGTCCTGGGCTGTGTTAAAAAGCCAAGGGGAGGAAGCCAGTAAGCAGCATTTCTTTATGTTCTTTGCTTCAGTTCCTGCCTCCAAGTTCCTTCTTGAGATCCTGTCCTGACCCTCAGTGATGGGCTGTGACCTGAAAGTACTAATATGAACTAAACCCTTTCCTTTCAGGAGTGTTTTTGGTCATGGTGTTTATCACAGCAGCAGGAAGCAAACCAGGACACTATTTACATGTTTATGTTGTGTGTTGGTTTAAATGGAAATGCCCCCTATAGGCCTACAGGGAGAGGTACTATTAGGTGTGGCCTTGTTGGTGTAGATGTGGTTTTGTTGGAAGAGGCATGTCACTTGGGGGCAGGCTTTGAGGTCTCAGATGCTCAAGCCAGGCCCACTGTGGCACTCTCTTCCTGGTGCCAGGGGATCTGGATGTAGAACTCTCAACTACCTCTCCAGCTCCATGTGTGTCTGCATAATACCATGCTTCTGACTACTATGATAATAGACTAAACTTCTGAATTGTAAGCCAGACCCAATGAAATGTTTTCCTTTATAAGAGCTGCCAGGTTAAAGGGACACTAGCCCACTCAAACATTGCTCATGCAGGCCTTGCCCTTATCCCCAGTTCCTTCTATCTTGCTAAAAAACCATTAGATTACATTCCTAAAGCTAGATACCAAGGTCTATTCCCCTATTTGGCCACTTCCTCCTCCTAAGACTGACTGTCAAGGACCAGCCATCAAAGTATTGGAGTCTAGCAATCAAAAGCCCCCCTTGGATCACCTAATTGACTTGCCCAATTAAAATTAAGCACCTCATCTTAACATAGGGTTCCCCCTTTACCTTTATAAAACCACCATTTTTCTGTGTCCATGTCTGCCTCCTCTCTATCCAGAGACAGTCCCTCCAGGACAAATACCCCTTTCTCCTTTTTCTTGTTTCCTTTCCTTCTCCCTCATCCTCTACCACAACATCCTAGACCATTCTAACATAGACCGCCCCCTTTTCATTCTCTTAACAATTACACCTGCAAGGTCATTTGTTGCTGTTTTTCTGTCCATGTTAGAAAGCAGCCACTTTAAACATTTCTTCCCTGCTTAATAGAGGATCTCTCTGTGAAAACAGGTGTGTGTGGTGTGTGATGTGTGTGTGTGTGTGTGTGTGTGTGTGTGTGTGTGTGTGTGTGTGTGTGTGCGCGCGAGCGAGTGCGTACGTTTCTAATCCTGGGTCTGGGAGGGAGCCCCACTATTTGGGAGTCCCCTTCAGTGGTCATGGTGTCTCTTTTTTTTAAGATTTATTTATTTATTACATATACACCAGATTGAATTGTAAATGGTTGTGAGCCACCATGTGGTTGCTGGGAATTGAACTCAAGACCTCTGGAAGAGCAGTCAGTGCTCGTAACCTCTGAGCCAAGTCATGGTGTCTCTTTACAACAATAGAAACCCTAACTAAGACATGCATCACTCGTCTTTAATATTGCCCCATCACAGTGTGTAAGCAATCAGATTTAAAGGGGAGAGTGTCCTCTTCCATGCCCTTACCAGCATGGTCTCTTACCCTCAGGACAAGTGACCTGAGCTATTTTAAACCAGGTCCCTTAAGCTCCTTAAGCTGTTTGTTCACTGTAACTCGGGGCTGTAGTACCTCAGCAGACTGTTTTCCCTCAAGAGTCTTCTTTGTGTTGCTGTGGGTGAGGGAACCCCAGCTCATAGGTAGCTCTCCCCAGCATATATCCCAGGGAAGTCCCAGCTCTGCCCTTCTTCTGACAGAAAGTGAAAGGGCGGAGGTGCCTCCTGCCTGCACCAGAGGGCAGGGTGTAAATCCTTAGCAGCCTTCCTCCCGTTTCAGCTGGGCTCTGTGCCCCAGCACCTACGTAACCTTGACTGAATGCTTATTATAAATGCAGCGTCCCAACCACCCCCAGGTCTGCTGAGATGGCATTTGTGTCCTAATAACATTCCCAGAGGACAAGAAGTCCTAAGCAAGAAATGAACAATGAGCTTAACCTGAGTCCCCTGCTCGGAAAATTTAGTTTCACCTATTGCTGTTCGAAACATGGCCACTGGGGGACACTAGAGCTAGGCATTAGACAAATGGTTTGCCAAACTGAAAGGAAAAACAAATTCAAAACAGATGATTTTTCACCTAGACCCAAGTATAGCATCCTGTGCCCAACTGCAACAACAACAACAAAAAATGGGTTTCATTGGAAAAGTCCTTGCGATGGGAATGTTGATCAGAGTAAGAGGTTGTTTTCCACTACGGAAACCCCAAGGGCCCAAGCCTCAGACACCTGCTTCTTGTGCTGCTCCACTGTGACAAAGACCCATTTCCTGTCTGGGCTGAGTGTCTCCATGCACAGTGTACAGATATTTGGACTACACGGTTCCCAGAGTCCCTTCTGGTTCCAAGGCTGAAGCTCAGACTATGGGGGTCATTTTTTCCTGCAATTTTCTGTGCTAATCCCCAGAACTTTCCAAGGAAATGGAAGATGGCTCTACATCTTTAAAAACACAAGTAGAACACGCTCCTGGCCTGTGATCTGCCCCGGGAGACCTGGGGCTTGCTACAATTGGGGTTCTGTCATTCCTGGGTGGGAAGGTTTCCAGTCCTCTAGAGTCAACAGCACTTTGGTCTCCTTGCTGCAAAGACCCTGAACCTCAGTAAAGAAGCATAGACTGAAGCCATTCAAAGATGGAGGGACTGAGGCCCAGGGAAGGAATCAGCCATACCCTAAGTCCCTATGGGCCAGTCACAGGTAAAGTCACAGGTAAAGCCAGAAGCAGCACTCCAATGCTGCTGCCTCATCCGAGGTCCCTGGAGCAGGGCAATCAGAACTCATCAACCCTGCCAGGGTAGTGTGTTGACCTTGGCAGCAGAGGAAAGCCAGGATACAGAGGCTGCCCACGGTCCTAACATGCCTGCCCTGTAATAGGCTCCTGTTCTTGTGAAAGACAGGCAGACAACATCCAGGAGGGAGGGTAGAGGGAGGACAGGGCCATGTGGTGGCCAGGGAAAGCCTCGGGAGGTGACTCGTGTCTCACGAAATGTGAGGATGGCTGTATGGGCTTAGGGAACAGCATCCAGGCAGAAAGGATGGCGGGCACAAAGGATATGCCATGAGTTCACCGTGAGAAACAATAATCTCCATCCATAACAAGGGTACTGAGGACCGAGAGTAGTGAAAGCGAAGACGTTTAGCTGATGGATTTGCAAAGCCAGGTGTCTCAAAACTTAATGTGGGAGGGGGCAACAAGATGACTCTGCAGGCAAGGACCCCCAAGCCTGATTGTGGGGGTCCCTACAAGCTCTACTGACAGCAAAGAAACAAACCACAGGAAGCAAGAAAGAAACCAGTTCAGCATGACTTAGTTAGCCAGGCTGGTTCAAACTTCTGGAGTCTGACCCCAATCAGTTTGTTTTTGACATATTTAAACACAGAACAACTTTGGAACAGGGTTTCCTCCTGGCAGTTACCACAATAAAGCTTAAGGCATAACTAACTACATCAAATTCCTTTGCAAAGCACGTGTCTTTTGCAAATCACCTGTGACCTCTCCCACAAGAGCAGGTTCTACTGACTGAGAAACAGCGCTAATGATGAGGGTCTAGGGAGGAAGGGTTTGTAATAGCAAACTCTTCTGCAAAGTACATAGGACCTCTTTTATAAGAATGGGATTTGTAAGAATGGATCTACAGATAGTAAAAGATCACCAGGCTATTAAACGCATCCTTCCTAGGGTTCTGCATGGAAAACAGGTATCCCTTCCATTGAAGAAAAACTCCTGTGTTTAACAATTCTGGTTTCTCTAACACTATCTGTGAGAACTGAGTGCTTGCGCCCCCCCCACATACACTTTTTTATTAAAATAAAATCTAACAGCCTAGAGACTATATCAGAAAACTCTTAAGACCTTATAAATGCATTTAGTAAAGTAGATACAAAATCAACATGAAAAACCAACAATCATTAGGAACAGTAACACCGGACACGCTGAAAAAAATAACAGGAAAACACTCCCCATTCACAATACTCTCAAAAAATTACACACCCAGGAACAACCTAACCAAGGGGCTGTGTGATCTTTACAACTAAAATTTTAGGAAAAATGCAAAAGCCCCTAGAAGATGGGAAGACTCCATATTCACAGATAGACCAACAGAATTAATATTGTGAAAACAGCTATAATACAGATCAACACTCAGAGTCAATATTCTCCATCAAAATTCCAATGTCATTCTGTACCCAAATAAAACAATGAAGACCCTAAAATTCAAATGGAAACACCTAAGATTCTGTCTGAATAGCCAAAGCAATCCTGAGCAAAAAGAGCTGTGTTGAGGGTACCATGATATCTACATTCAAGTTATACTACAGAGCTACAGTAACAGAAACAGCATGGCACCGTCACAAACTCCAACAAGCACCAGCAGACACA